AGTTTATCATTCTAATCGCTTCGATAAGATATCGATGTGCTTTGGTCATCAACTGTAGGAAAGAACTTTTTTTTTTATATATATATTTTGACACGAGATTGTACGAAGCCTTTATGTAGACCTTCATTTATACATATGACATAACTAAAAGAAGATAAGAAAATGGTCCATAAATACAATAAGCAAATATTAAATATATACAAATGTAGATATATTACAGCTAAATTAATACAGTATTAGCAAAAATGTCTCATGTAATATTATCTACCTACATTTTCATTTAATTAACTTTATCGTTTGTTACATTCCACAGATGATGAATTCATTTAATGCTTCACAGGAATTTGTTTTATAAGCAGTTCAAATGAAGGGCACGGTGATTATTAAAATTTCAAGACCTTTAAGTTGCTAAACGTATTATTTTAATTATCTATAGTATATATATACATACATTTTATTCCAGAAATAAACACTACTAAGCGTGCGAAGAGCATCAATTTCGATGATTGATAGTGACAATATTTACTTCTACTATTAAACTGGTATAAAATGGCTCCAGAATCAGCGTTATTGAAAGCAATACATTTCTTACAGAACCCTATACCTCAATATGTGCTGGGAACATTACCAGCTATAGCAATAATGGGAACAAACTTTATTGGAAAAGCTTAATTGGGTATTACAATGCCTTAGTTGTCCGTTTATAGGATTATTTTACTTTTGTAACGTAGGGAGCAAGATAGGGAGCAAGGTAAAGAACAAGGCAAATAAAATAGAATACGAGACAGTAGAAATGTGTATATATTGGCTTGCATCTAAGTATTTTATTCAAGGCAATAAAGATGATGCCAATAAAGTTGATGCCAATGAAGATAATGCCAATAAAGATGATGCCAAAGATAAAGGTAAAGAAAAAGCATATAACAACAATGGCAATTATGAACAAGAGGAATCTATTAATGAAGATGAAAGCAGTGGCAGTAACGAAACCAATAGTAAAAACAAAACAAACAATGATGATGAACTCGCAATTGACGTCCAAAATGGAAATCAAAACAAAAAGGAAGTGCTTATTAGACCTGTTGGACACTATGCAATGAAATTACATCCCACTTCCGAACAGAGAGGCATTTTTATTAATTGGGTGGCGAATGCATCTTTATTAGATAGACTGGCATCATTAGCGTCAGCATATTACATATTAGTTGGTATATTTGCAGGAATATCTAAAGCAGCAGGGCCATGTATGGAAGATAATTCATTAGAAGATTGGCCATTCATACCGTTATTATTCATTTGGGCACTACCCATAATTTACGTAAGAATAAGTAATGGAGTAGTAGTATATAAATTCTCAGAAGATTCTTTTCCTGATCAATCAATACTTGTCACAGCTTTCGAAGAAAAGGACCTTCATAAAAAACGAATATATGTTGCGATTACTGCTTTAGCTTCAGTAGCACTACCTTGGTTAGCAGTAATCATTGCATATTACACTCCCCCAATTTGATTTTTCTGCCGCAGTAAGTTCCTTACAATTATATGTTCTATATGGACATTCAACAATATCGCTGCATATGTATCTCACGTGAATGGTGAAAATAACTTATATCCACCATTACACATTTGGTTTAGCGTTTGTGGCTTTATAATGGTTGTACTTTTGATTTTGTTGAGCCTGTTAGCAGGCACAAATTCATGGTGGATAAGCTTATTTGGTCCCTCTTGTGATATTCAACTTACATGTAATGGCTTATCATGTATCACGTGATCGAGATCGATATGTTTTATTTAATCATAATACTATTGCTATTACTCTTCGCATATTATTATTTTATTATTGTGATTTATTGCTATTACTCTTTGCATATTATTATTTTATTATTGTGATTTATTACTATTATGGTATACATTAAAAATCAATAAAGTCCGTAGTTAACAATTATAACGGTTTATTATTCATGATTGATAAATTGTTTACATACTGCTGTACTGATCTGATCTTATATATTGCTGTCCTGAATTACGGCATTATAACGTGCGAAAATTTGAATGAATGATATTACTGCAACTAAATCTAGGGTTAGAGTTGATCTATGGTTTGTGTTAGGGTTAATTTTTCGGGCGAAACCTAAATATTTCGCCTTATCCGGATCCGAAATATGGGCGATATTAATTTCGCCCAACATTTAAATTTCCGAAATTTCCGATAAAATCTGTAATTGCCTAAAACCCGAACTCAATCTGAAGTATTAGAAATGTTTCGATACTGTCTTCCTAAGCATTGCCAGAAAATTTTTTTACTATCACGTGATATTCGCCAAAATTCTTTACTTTCATTTTTGTTAGTGTATTTCTAGGCATCTTTAGCCAGAGATGCCTAGTGATAATATTTCGGACCTAATAGCCAATTAAAATGCAAATAAATCACATGATCACATGATAGACGTTTGTGTAGCACATAGATAGCACAAAAGACGATCATCTCGGATCAGTCCAGCGAAACAAAAAAGAAGCAAAAAAGTAAAAAATATAAAATATATAAAAAAATAGCTATCTAAATCTATTTTGGGACACTAATTGTCGAGAAGGCAATTTTACATATAGTACTTGCCTTCACCCTAGACCTAAATCTAATTAAAGTTATATAAATGGGTATAGTTTTGAATTTTTTTTTGTTAGGGTTAATTGTTTTGGGGATGGTTAAAATCATGTATCCATGTGATTTTGATGTTTTAATAAATAATTCATCAGTTATTTAAAGAGCAGATTATATTAGCAAAAAAAATACACTGCTAGATTAGAGCTTTGATCCTTAATCCAACTATCTGAATTGATCTTTAAATCCAGGTAGATTTAGATATTTAGATCAGAGATTTTTACTCGGATTGGTCAAAGAA